GACGCTCTGGAACATTTCCCATTATCTCTAATGAGATAGAAGGGAAAATGCAATAACCAAGTTCTGCATTTAGAATTTTAGTGCTTCCAAAAGTTCTTAGCACAGGGCTGCAAAGCTCAGTATTGCTCATGTTCTTATTTCCCAAAGTAACTAGTCTGTTGTTACATTAAGCTGACCTGTGAAAAAGCACAAAGAAGCGTTTTGTTACTGTTGTAAAATATAGTGAGATAAATATATTTCTACTGTCCCAAGCTGTAAATGCATGAACAACACAAATGAGCACGTTGATGGTAAAAATGCACATTCTGCAGTTATTGGCAGCCTGTTACAAACCACTTTCCCTGTCTGAGTTGGTGCTAAACCAGCATGATATACATTGGACCATGTTGTTAGGAAGCACTGACTAGGGCTTGAAGATCTCAGAGCCGTTAAACCTGGCAAGTTTTGTGAATTTTGAGGATTGTAAACAGGATTTTGTGGCTAAATTCCAACTACTTTTAGTTGCATTAGGAAGAACTTTTTTTTCCCCATCCCTGTCCTGAACTATAAAGCAGGAGTAATCTGTTCCAGGGGTTGGTGCATGCCACTGACAAAGCAAAGCAACTCCTGTGTGAATCTTATTTCTGACATGAGTTTGCCAGTCAGTTGGACATTCACAGTAATGATCTATGCGGGTACTATGATTATGATCTGTAAAACACCATATATGAACCCTATTTCATCAAATCTATGCCTTGAAACAGATATGCCTTTGCTGGATTTATGCTAACAAAGCTTTTGGGGGCTGTGGGCAGTATTTCTTTTTAGCCCACGTCCTTGAGAGTAGTAAATGATCTGTAACAGGAGTTCTTGTATATCAGAACTAAAATAATACTTACCTGTAGTAATTTGTTTCCTGTCAGCTTGAGTTTATCCAAGGGCAAGAGCAGTGGGCTTAAATCTCATTTGGAAGGGGGGAGAAGTCTGATCTACACCCTTTAGAGCTCTGGATTGGTACTGCTCCATTCAGTTTCAGCAAAATAAAAATACTCCCTGGGAGAGTTGAATCGTTACTGCATTTTCTGGTGAAAGGCAGGCACATTAAGAGGAGTCCCCAGAAGCACTATGCATAGCTTAATTTATAGCATTTACTCTTCGCCTTTGTCCCCATCCCTTTTTCTTTTCTTCAGACTGTAACAGCACCCACGCTAAAAGCAGTTATACAGTTTCTTAAAAGTTTAAGCAAGAAATGAAGAGTGCCCCAACCTGGCCCAGATAGTAACTGGGATAATTCTGCTGACATGGAAATACGGGTCTGAACCCCCATAGACTGAGGAGAGAACTGAACCTGGGTCTTCTCCTGGAGTTATTTAATCCATACATCTATTATGCAAAAGATGGACCACTTGAATACGCATTTATCTGTGCTCAGGTAACTAAATCAGGCAAAGGTACAGTTGGCCACAAATCTCTGTCATTTATTAGTATGCAGAGAGATTCAAAATATCTCTCTTCTATATGCAGAGAGATGCAAAATTTCCAACAAGTATAAAGACGTAAATGAAGACAGGCTTTGGGAGGAATAGAAAAACTTGAGATACCTCTAAATTGCTAAGCAGAAAAAACATCTTTAAGCATGAAATACTATTTATAATGCCACAGTCGTTCTGCATGCTAATGGAGTACGTGAAATAAGCGGTAAGTGAATCACTTGCAATTGTAGTCAAACATATGTTATACAAATGCATTTGCCATTTCAGACTACACACTAAGCCAAATGTATGCTCCTTAATTTTGCAGTCTGTGAGTTACATTATAATGACTGTTTATAGGAATGTTCTCTCTCTAAAACATTTCTTCCCTTCTTATCTAGATAGTTGGCTTTTGTTTACTTTCTTTTTCTGAGCCCTAGAGGTGTAAATTGTTTTTGTTTACCAGTCAACAGCACTGATGATTCTTCTTCTCAAGAGTTTTCCTGAATTAAAGAAAAGTAAACATAAACAAAGCCATATTAAGTACAGCACAACCCCATCGCTAGTCAGGAAAAGCACTTGGCATTTATTCGCAGTAACATCTAAAAATTATTTCACTGTTGAGTGGAATATTCACTCAGAACAAACTACTTTTTTTTCCTGTAGAGACCTGAGAACAAGGAAAGGATCTAGTTAGGTTTTTTGCCTTAAAGTTTGAAGGGTGCTTTCTTCCACATCTCGGTGCATAACTCTTGTTCTGATTCTGCCATACGCCTGTCTCCCTCAAAACCTTCATCTACAAAATGAAGCTAAGTCCTGCACTTTTTTTTAAATGGCCTAAATGCTGAGAGAGCCACTGAATAGAGAGATCAGTAGTGTTAGAGCAGATGGTAAGTTATTAGCTGTAGTCTAATGGCATTTTCAGATATGGGCATGTGCATAGCACAGTGGGATTTCTTATATAACAAAAAGATTATTACGAAGCATCTTAGTGGAGTCCAGAAAGAATCACTCATGGATTTCTCTATGTGTTTTTAGGCTTGATAGCTCTTAAATATCTAACAATGTCCAGTTATAATGCAGGGACTGAAACCATACATAAATACTAAGACATCTTTAGTTCATGCAACTGTTGTTGAAGGTCATTAGGAGTCGGTGAGAGGAGTATTTGTTGCTGCAGGTGATGGTAGGGAAATAAAAGAAATAGGTGTAAAAAGTTAGACCTGGAAGAATTCACATCTTAACAAGAAATCCACGATTTAGAAGAGAGAGCATAAAGAACCTTGATGTGTTCAGGAAAAAAACCAGCAAGATAACAATGGAGACAAAAATTTTGCTACGGAAGGAGGCTGTGATTAGAATGAATCACTGGTCCTTTCCAGTTTTGATCTCCCATTATGCAACTTAAATATTGGTCATGCCAAGAGTTACTCTAGTAACTTGTCAGAAGTAGACAGCTTTGCTTCAATTTGCATGTGCTTTAAATCACCAAACATATGCACTGCTGTAGTTACCCATATTTTAACTGGGTTGCTGAATATAAATTGCTGCATGAGTTCAATGGCAGTGAATACCTGCAATCAATCAGATTTATTTCCACTCTGGGAAAGGCTGGTGGGGTCTGTATATAAGGCTGTGATAAATATTGCCGTCAGCCCATGTCATAGACTGGAAAATCTAGGATCTTCTGATACTTCACAGATAAATGGAGAAGTTATGAAGAAGATCCTTTGAGGAGTTTCATTTTCACCCCATCCCTTTGAATTTGGCGTCACTGCTCAGAATTTCGATATATTTTGAAATACTCAACTTCCATTCTGTAATGACTCCCATATCCACACACTGATGGTCACAAACATGCAGGTTTTTGACCATCACCTCAGTGCCAATATGCGTCCCTCTCAGTAAGTCTTGTATGTGAATTAGTACAGGCAGTCATGTAGATACTTTGTGTGAGAAGGGCTGGATCAAGCATAAATATGCAAATCATGCTCTCAGATTTGCTTGGGAATAACACAATTTCCCTATGAATTCAGAAAAAAAGGCGCTATAAGGGAGGGCTGTATGGAATAATTCCTCTTCTCTTCCTCCTCTTGCCATTCCCCTCCCTCTTATTTTCTTGCTC